AGGGGGGCGGCCTCTTTTCAGTGGTGGGCAGGGATAGGACTAGAGGAAATGGCTTCAAACTGAAGCATCGGAAGTTCCACGGGAACTTAAGGAAGCATTTCTTCACTGTGAGGGTGACAAAGCACTGGAACAGGCTGCCCAGAGAGGTTGTGGAGTCTCCTTCTCTGGAGATCTTTAAAACCCGCTTGGATGCAGCCCTGTGCCACGTGCTCTAGGTGACCCTGCGTGGACTCGATGACCTCTGAGGTCCCTTCCAACCTTCGGCATTCTATGATTCTATGATATGATTCTATGAAAACTTCCTTTACAATAAAGTCACTAATGGTCATGAATATAAGAAATTTATCAATTTCTCAACCTTTCTTGTGACACCCATTTTTTTTCTATTCTAGTTGTATTTTCTCCTGCTGTAGTAACACCTTCTTTTGTCAGTTAACCAAAACAATATGAGTAGAAGGACAATTTTTTATTCTCACTTTTATTCTCACTTAAAAACTAAGAATCTGGGCTACACATGAGACTGGTGGTGGCGATAGTGTTGAGGAACTGAACTGGTAGGGGTCTGTGGGCTCAGTTCCCTGGTCTTTGTCTGTTCCACCTTCTCTCAGTTTATTTCAATTTTCCACCTAGGTCAAAATATATCCATCAGTCTCACTCCACGAGATAATAGCCCCGGCTGTGAGAGGATTTCTCTGGTTTAGATGGACATTGTATTCTGTATGTTTTATGTTCTTATGGGCATGATGGAGAAACAGAAGCTTGAATTTTATTTATTTTGCAGTGTGCTAAAGGATAGGGCTGCCTAATATGAAAATTGGAACAATGCATGCCAGAGTTTAGGCTAAATGACTTCCTTGAAAGATAAGGTGCAAAAAAGAATTGAGTACCACTGTGCATAAGTAAACTCTTTTTTTTTTTTTTTTTTTTCCCCTTTAATAGGAAGAAGGTAAAGCAACTCCATACAGTACAGTAATTCTAAGCCACCTCACATTACATTTTGAAATTTTCCCTTCAAACATACTTTATTTATTTTAGGGTGGGATGAAGAGCTTATAAATGTTATAGAATGAGTGACAGATGGAAAAAAAGAATGCATATAGCTTGTATGTCCTGGCCAGTAACAGATGAGACCATGCTTCAGAAGTGTTGATTTGGAAATCTGAACATATATTGAAAGGATCTCTTTCAATTTCTTAAAGGTTGTGGAGTCTATAATTTTTATTCTTACCTCAGAAGTAGTAGGAATGGTCATTTCATAAGCAAATTTGCATGTGTTATGGAATTCTGTTAAACATTAATTCCAAAATGTATAAGCTTCAAATTGATTTTAATTTCTCACATCCAGAAAGCTTTATGACTGTATTTCTAGGGAAAAAAACAAAGAGGCTGAAATGGTAGCCAATTCCTTCCTATTTTTTAAGCTTGATATTCTGCAGTCAACTATTAGATTTATTTATTTATTAATCCCAGAGCTGGATAGAATTGCTCCCTTTTGGTAAGTTTTTAGAAAATCCGTAATAGTGCCAAACCAGGAGTATTCATGGTTATACTGTCCCATCCTTGCCAGGGGCTGAGCAACCATATGACCAATATCCTCTAGCAAGGGCTAGAACCTGGAAGCGTTGTCAGCGAAAACTGAATTCTCTGAGCTGAGGACTCAGCTGAATATTGGAGGTAGAAGCAGCTTTTCAGCCATTTGTCATCATGCAATGGCTGTGGATTCAGTGACCTGCAAGTGAGGTAGGTGAATATTTATTGAAGACCCTGCAATGTCTTTTCTCGTCTGGAATGTTTTATGAACGTGGCCCTGACTGATTTCAAATGAAGAATAACTACATAGAATGTTTCTTTATTTGTTAATTAAACATCGATTCCAGAACATTTTTGCAAAAATAAGTTTCTGGGAGGTGCACAAGCTCTCTAGAATTTCTGTGCTGAGTGCAAGTGCCCTGGTCTAATCTTCACTGGCAACAGGGTTCATAACTTTCCCCAGAAATAATATACTAGAGGTGGTTTTGTCAAAAATTAGCATCATGAAGGGCCTGTTGAATTCGATGACAGGAGGAGGAGGAATCTCAAGTGATATTGGCATCACTTCTACCACAGTCACTGCAGCAGCCTCTGTGCCGTTCTCATTAACGTCCACCATTGCCTTGTGCGTTGCCTACAAGGGAAGCAGTGATTAAAATGTAAATAAAGAAGAATGAAAAGTAGTTGCAGCTGGGGACAAACTTGCCTGTATTAGTCCCATAAAAAGGTAATTTGTAGAAGGAAGCACAGAATGAGTATAGGACTGGTTATGGAGAAGATGCTCATGCTCAGCCTCTCCAAGAAGAGCAAAGCTTCCTCTAAGCTTAGTGAGTTTTCTTCACTAGTTCAGCAGAGTCAAACTCTTCTGTTTGCAGAAACTGAGCAGAGGTTATATTAGGTTGCTCAGGGTCTCATCTAGTCATATTTTGAACGTTTGTAAGGTAAGGATGATCAAATGCTAGGCTGTTCAAACATCTTGTGAGAAAATTTTCATAACTTTTAATTAGAATTTCCCCTAATCTAAACTGTGTTCATTGCCTCTTGCCCTATCCCTGTGCACCTGCAGGAAGAGCCTGCCTCCAGCATTTTTTTGCTCCCTCCTGTTAGTGCTGTCATTTAACTAAGGTCCCCTCATCACTTCTCCGGAGTGAACAAGTCCAGCACCCTGATTGTCCTGTGACCTTCTGCTGGACTCGCTTTGCTCTCATATGTCCACACGTCTCTTGCATGGGTGAACCCAGAACTGGATGCCACCAGTGGTGATCCCACAGGTGCAGAGTAGGGAAGAATAATCACTTCTCTCATGGCCCATTGTGTACATTCCCCAGAATACTAGGCAAATCACTTAATTTCTCTATATGCCAATTTCTTCTTATTATTTCTGTGTGCCATTTATTGTGAAATAGGAAAATCGCTATCTCACAAGTTTGTTGTTTGTGCAGATTCTAAGGTATTCAGATAATGTAATAATGAAATGCATATACCCTGAATAATTATTCCCAATTTTATGCCATAACTATCACTATTATCATGTTTCTTTCACAAAAAAGGAAATGTAAATTATTTCTTGTAATTCACAGATCTGTTTTCTCCTTCAGTAATTTTCAGCTGACTTTGTAGCATTGTTGTACAGTAAACAACTGAATGTTGAATTCTTAGAACAATAGCCATCTGATCTCTAACCTTCTCCTTACCTTAGTACCATCAGAGAATCATGAATATGATCCCCCTGAAGTGGGATTGGGCTATTGCAAAGATAAAAATCTGTATGTAATAGGAACATGTTTCATAATCACTGTTTATGCTTGCATACTTACTTTTGAAACCTTTAGACGAGTGCTTTCTGTCATTCCAGAGAAATTAGCTTGATCACCGAATACTTCTTTCACACCCATCTTCTGGAATAGGTTCTTGACATCATAGCAGCCAGAGATGGAGAATTTGGGAAGATACAGGTTGATTTTTCTTTTCAGAAACAAATTAAAAATACAGGTTTATTGTTGAAACGGCCCTTGATATCATGAATTTTAGCAGATATATACTCATCCCAAGTATCCATGGTGCTGGCCTGTTGAGGCTTGGCTTTTTAAGAGGCTTGGCTTTTTAAGAGCGTGGCAATTCCCCTGTTATAGAAGCAGAAAGTGAGGTACCAGCCACAGTTAGATCAATTGTATAGGGGCACAGTGTTGATTTTGGAAAGTGGCTAGGTGGACAGTGTCATCCAGGATGGAAAAAAAGGAAATGACATTTTCTTTTAAAGTGATTTCTCTCTGCTCCAGCTTGGCTTCCAAGAGCCACGTACCTCCTATGTAATCTGCATTTGGTAGCACTCCTGTGGCCAGAGGAGCTGAGCAGAGAGGTCCTCTCATATACCTCCTGATACCTCCGCTGATCTAAGTGGACTGTACAAGGTGTGATTCCTCAGAGTTAGGCTCAGCAACCCAGTGCGGTATCCTAAATTATACCCTGCCTGGATGAGTAGTTATTCCTTATTCTATGCTTTAATGTACCTGAGTAAAGGAATAGTTAAAGGATTACCTGCTTTTAAGTGAATTTGCCCAGTTAGACACGGTTTCTTTCAGCAGAACATCTTCCACCTGCTTCATTGCTCCTTCATCAGGCAGAACAAACAGTGCAGCAACGTTCCCTTTATACGGGATTTCTACAACCCAGCAAGACAAGTTCTCATCCCTATAGACATTATAGGCTTTGCTTCGATGCATCATTTTGACCTTTACAGATTTCTTGGCATCTATGAAGAAGTCGTCTTCCTTGGTGAGCAAACTGCTGAAAGGTTGTTCCCAGTAACCTTGTGACAAAAGAGTGAAAATAGAGTTAAAAATCTGAAAGGGGGGCTAATTGAGCATACCAGATTAGCTGATGCTCAAAATAATATATTTGAGTGGTAAAGCCAAGCAAACCTTCTTTATAGAATCCTTGCCCTGTGACTGTGGACAGAAGCTTTATGTTGTTTTAATAGTTATAGCAATAATCATAGAAATAAAATATATGTTGAAAAATGCTGTGGTATAGAGTCAAATGTTGTTCTAAGTCACTTATGAAACTTCCACTGATTTCCACAATTCAGGGTCCAGGCCTATTCCTTCCATAAAGGTGTCCTCGTTGATATGTCACTTTGACCATGTTCTGCATGTGACCGAGTTGCCAAGCTCATCTCTTCGCTGTTCTGAATAGTATTATCTCTGAATCTGGTTTAAAATAAATATGGTATTGGCCAGTACATCTGTAAGTGGGGATTTTGTGTGTGGTTTATGGAACATATGTGCATACCTCTACTCTCATTTGTCATACCACTCACCTTTAAAGTAAATGTAGTTAACAAGAACCATCACTGTGTCTGAACTAAGACTCTTGAGGAAGTCAACAAATTTCCCATGAGTTTTCATTTCTATGTAATCATTGATTTTCTTTTTAGCCTCTGAAATATTCTGGAAGTTGCTAGAAATAGCTTCAGATTCATAAAAATTTGTGACATCATCCAGAAATTTTTGGAGCAGTTTCAGATGGTCATCTATGAACAGAGCATTGCCCATGCTCACTTGGACTTCTCTGTGAGGGTCGTTCAGGAGCTGCAGGAGATCGCGGAAGCCTTCGTGGACCTCCTGTTCCTCCATGTCTGTCATGTTGAAGGTGAGCCCTTTGTGCAGCTCGTGGCATGTGGTTGCTCTGGCCCCCAGGGAGAGCATTGCAAAGGCAACTGAGATGCTCAGAGGAGAGAAGAAAATGTTCTTGTCACCTCCCTCTGCTGCAACCTGCTTGTAAAATCTAAATGCAAATTCAGCGTTGCTTGGGGCTATCTTGCAATGAGACCGTTTTTCTCCTTCACCGTGGGCATGGTCTCCTGGACAATGAACTGCTTTTTGTTCCTCTTGTTCTTCACTGTGGCTGGGTTTAGGGAGGCCCTGGACATGAAACCCAAGAAGCAGCAAGCACAAATACAAGGCAGACTTCATTTTTTTTTCTTTTTTTTTTTTTTTTTTTTCTGATTCAGTTCTGTTCAGAAAGAAAAGACTTAATTTTAGAGAGAGTGCATTTCATGCTTTCTGCATAAAAAAATGTTCTTGTCTTTTAGATACTAAAATTTTAGACACTAATTGTTAGGATTATTAATACATTTAGAAATACTCTTCTACGTCACCTCCTGCCTAGCTCATTTCTATTCAGTTGCATGGTTTTCCAGCCAGCTGGGCATCTAGCAAAAGAAGAAAGATATTAATGTAGCATCACCAGGGAAGAATCTTTCCTGTGCAGCCTTTGGTAAGGTATCATGTGTGAAATAGTTTGTGTCTTGGAATTAATTTTTTTTAAATACTCTGTTTTTTTTTGGTACTCCAAGTATGTAGATCTCTGATGAGATTTCCATCAGGGTTTCCCTTTCCTGGCTGCCCAATTGAGACACTGAAGATCTGAGCAATGGCAATGCTGAGTGTAAATGCTTAGCTTGCCTAAAATCTGAGATGAAACCATAGATTCTGAAAAGAATATCATTCTAAATGGAAGCAATTCATTCTGAACTGATTAGCACTCTTTCCTTCATTGCCCAGATCTGTTTTTGAGGTAGATGAGTTTCTCCTCCCGGTTGCCTACTTGCCAATAGCATTGTTGGGAGCACTAAAGGTTCAGGGATTCTACCTTCAGGTCTAGCATGTATCCTGTACCAATTTGGAATAGTCAGGAATAAAATATTTTAAGGAACATGTGGTGTCTTTGCCCAGTTCTGAACTGGACCACAGTCATTGGCAGAGATAATATTCAGGTAATGAAATCTCCAGGAATTTATTTTCTACCCAATTACGATATGAATATATGTGTAACCTGGCTTTTATCAGAGGCTTTTTAGGTGTCCTGTTTTTGACAGACGTTCACAGAGATCTCTGATACAAGAGCTCCTTCTCTGCCAAATTTTGGCAATCTCCTCAGAAACAAGGGTATGATAGAGTTTACAAAGAAAGTCACCAAAAACTAATACTGTTTTTCTTTGCTTTGTTTTGTTCTGGTAATAACCTTCTTGGAAGTAGGTGAATCCATTCTACTGAAGTGTTCAACAAATAAAACATAAAAATTAGATCTTGATGGTTAGCACATAGAAAAATATAGCCTGAAGAAGAAGTATTGGTAAAGATATTGCTGACAGAATGCAGTTCACCAATAATAAGCAGGTAATACCAACCATCTCCAGAATGTGCTACTTGCTCTGTTATATGTAATATAGAAACAAGTCATCAAGGAACTAGCCTTAGCGAGATGTGACTTCACTCTAGTGCTCTTGTCCAACTTCAAGTGTAGGCAAGAGATCTTGTACAACTGATACTTTATCAAAAATTTCAACAAGATTTTCTAATGTCTAGCAAATCTCAGATCCCTAAAAGCTGGAAATTATAAGAAATCTAATGATGAAATAATGACAAAATATTTCAAAGTGAAATTTTCCATATTTATCATTTCCCAGCAGTAACCAAGAGGATGCAGCTTCCTGTGCCTATTTAATTATGTGTTAACATATTTCTCTGAGCATTCAAGAGCCTGACACTATGTCAGACCTCTGGTTTATAAAGGACACTTGTGATTACAGTTGGATTTGCTTCCTAGAAGCAGCTTCAGGTTTTGTTTCACCTAAGTGTTGATGACAATAAAGTATTTGCTACAGATGTAATCTTCCAGTCATCCTGCCATTATACCTAGGAGTTTGACCACTGCCTGAATCCTCCTGACATTTAGAACATGCTTCCAGAAAGCAAAGATCATTTCCAACTGCCGCTATAAAATAAGCTTAGAATGAAGTATAATGAAGAATTAACAAAGATCCCAGACAACAGGAATTCAAAGTCTGTACTTACAATTCATTTAAAGTCTGCTGCACCTCTCTTTTTCAGCACTTCTTTCTTATTGTTCATTTTGCTGGGTAGGATTAAGTTAGTGTGCCCTGGTAAATATTAAACAGAGCAAATAACATTTATTTGCAAATCAAACACTGAGTAAGCTATATTTTCTGGACATCAAACATTGTAAGCCTGTTTTCCCATTAAAGAGGCAAAATGATGCCAGCACCAGCGTCTCTGAGAAAACTGTGTAAGCGCAGAGCTTGATGCTTTGGGGTTTGAAATATATGTGGTCAAAAGAGGGGGAGAAAAAAGGCTTTGCAAGTTAATGTGACATAACTGTTGTTGATACTTTAAAAAACAAATACAAGGAGAAGTAGAAACCTTCTTAGGACATATCTCTGGGTATGAAAAGGGTGATGTGTCTTTCTGTATGAGACATTCTGCAGCAAGGATGTTGCCTAATTGTGTAGCCAAGGCAGTAACAGGTTTGTTCAGGAGTAGCTTAGTCTCTCTATGTTGCCCTGCAACATATAATGCAGACCTACCCTAACTGGTATTCTTTGAAGGTCTCAATTATTAGATAAAGGATAATCAAGGAATACAGGCTAAATTTGTAAAAAGCCTTTATGAGTTTAGTTTAGAAATTAACAAAATAGTAGAAAAAGAGTAAAATATCAGCAAGGATCAAGAAATAGTCAAACAGAAAACAAATAGAAGAATGAAATGGACAATCTTCATCAGGACAATGTTTGTGAGGAAGAAGAGAAGACTCTTCCAAATTCCTCACTAATTCCATGTGATATGTATCATGTACATATTATTATATGAATCATGCTAGGGACTCTCCCATTTGAGAGAAACAGGAACTATTTAGCTATTTCTAAGGTTATTTAAGGATGAGCTGCATGGCACTCATCCTAATTAGCAATGACTAATTATTTCCACTGTATGTACATGATTTCACTGTAGGTAAAATTGCAATTTATCTACACATATCAACCTATCTGCCAGAGGTATTGTTATTTAATTACTATCTTTTACTAGCCAGAAATGATAAAAAATACTTTGACAGATAGCTCTGTCTTTGTGATGTATGTAAGCACATGGAAAATTTATCACAGCACTACATATAATCACCAAGATTTACCAGGAATTAACATGCTGTTGCTTAATTTAGAAAAGACAAACTGTTTTTCTCAAGGTTAGTCCTGCCTGCTTAGCATAAATCTTTCAGCCCAGCCTTAATCCTTGGCTAACCATCTGAAGGATGCTACTGTGTTCAGGGAGATACTGTGTGGAATGGTGCAGCTTCTGCACCGATTGCTCTCTCCTCTCCCCAGCTCTCCTGATCAATACAGTGCAAAAGGAGGGTGAATTGTCACATGGAGATGACACTGGTGTGTTTGCTACGTGGCAGTGTCTGTGAGATCCTGGTAAACATGAGGCCATTTATTTCTCGTAAACCTTTTCCTCTTAGTGCAAATGGCTGTGTAGGAAACCTTGCCCACAGAACAGATGTCACTGTAAAATGTGAGGGTAAATTGGGATGTCTGCCACAGTTTTGGAGGAAGGAAGCCCATACAGTGCAAATGTATGGAGCACTTGGGTGTTTCTAGATGAGCAGTGCCTGGGATGGAGGAACTCCTGTGACAGGAATCGGGGGATCTCTTGCCATCTGGGGAATCATACAAAGGACTGACACAAGTGTTCACCCCACTAACCTGATAATGACACGTATGGATTTTTTTTATCTATTTATGAAATTAATTTTCTCTTTCCCTCCTGTTTGCCAGTAAGCCTTAGCTCTGTGTAACAAAACATGAGCTCAGTTCATCTCACAGGGATAATCTCATTCCGTATAATTACGTTACTCCTGTCCCTGCCTGGTTATCAAATTATGATATGCCAGCTTTGCAAACTGTACTTCTGGGTTTGCCAGGGCAAAGGATTATTGGCTGTGGAAGCAAAATGTCAGCAAGATAATAAGAATTGAGCAAGAGAGTGTGTACTTAGCACGATAAATCCTCATGCAGCCATTTCACTTTCCTTACAAGGATGTGTCCTCTCAAGGTCCATCTACAAAGCTTCAGATAAATATACTTGTTGACAGAAGCAACTCCATTAAAATCAGGAGATTGGGACCACAGAAAAAATTCCATGACTGGGATAACCATCAGGTCCTATCTATCTTTTGATCAAGTTCTGTAAAAAATATTCTGACTAAGATCTCCACGTGTCTTTCAAATGCTCAGTCTTTTTGCATAGAAAAAATAAGGTGCTGCTGGCTCCATTTCCAAACCAGTATGACTAAGTGAAATATAAAAGTTGGAGGTTAAGGAGAAAGTTGGTTGGACCTGACAATAGTAATTAGGCCTTCAAGCTCATGGCTCTGTTTCTCCGTTACAAGAAAAAGGCCGATATCTCAGTTTTCATTTGGACCCTATGTGCTGAAGTAAATAAGCTCAAAGCTCCGGTTTTAACATATTACACCACTGCTGCAGCTGGGCTGTAGCTGCCAATTCTCTGGCTTCTGCCATCCCGGTGAGGAGGAGAGCAGCTTGCTGCCCTCAGCAAAAAGATGATGAGGGCAATTAAAACTATCCAGTCCTGCCTGCCTTCAGCTATCGTCCAAAACTCCTGCCAGGTTTTCCTGGCAGGGCCATTGCAAGTTGACAGTGGTATAATCAGGCTTAAGTAAATACATACCCTTCTCCACATGAGTTTTTCAAGAGGAAATGTCTTTGGCCAGATTAGCCTCTGGCTACTTCTCTTTGCTTGCATCAAGGAGGTGCTGAATGCTGTGGCAGCTCCCAAGAGAGGTGTCAGCACCACAGCGCAAACCAGCTGCTTATTAGCACAGGTTTTGCCACTTGGCTCTGTAGTCCATGGCCTGCCATCAACAGAAGTCATCTACGCAGGTGTGTACAACAAGAAAAGAAAGGTTGTTTTTTGTTTTTTTTTTTTTGATAACACTAAGAAAGAGTAACCTGATGTTTTGTGGGCAAAGCCATATTAGTGTAAACCTGATGAACTCATGTGCAATATAACTCCTTCTAGGGATGGATGGTGCTTTGAACATATTTGCATAATAGGAGCCTTTTCTGACAGGTTTTCAGCCTTTCACTCTTGCAGCTGGAATCTTTCAACTGATTTCATACAACCTCACAATTCTCCAGATGAAAGTCATTTAAATGAAATCAATTATTGCTTTTTTATTTTTCCTGAGTTAAATCTTAGAAGGAAATAAAGTTCTTTCATTATGAGAATGTGATTCTATTTCTCATAAAAGATGTTTCACTTCAGGTTATCACTTTCATTTGTTTGAAGAAAACAAGTATTTTAGCATTAATGTTATGCTTTCTCTATACTTAATATCCTAGTATTGAAAGAAAATATGTTTCTAAGAAGATACAGAAATTTTAGGTCTGATGTGTATTTAATTGGATTCAGTGTGCCAGAATTTTAAAGTTCAAGATGTATCTCATCTCAAGAGCTCATCTCAGTTTCTACTGGTATATTTTCTCTCAAGTTCTCAGCTGACTGCAAACATTGAAATTGAAGCCCTGCTTGAGCATGCGGAAGCTTTTCAAAATAGGTGCTATAAGTTTTAAAAATCACTAGAATATAAAAAGAAAAAAAAAAGAACATCAGACAAGCTGTGAAAGATCATAATTTTTTTCTCAAATTGTAGCTTGAATACCTTTTTTCAAAACAATACATCATCAAACTCAAGTAGCAGGGAGTACTGACTGAAAATCTTAATTATCATGATACAAGAAATTAGAGATGGCGTGCATTAACTCCCAAAATTAAAAAAAAAAATAGCAGCTAGAATAACTATCAGTGAAGAAAAATGCTCAGTCCTTCTGCTGGATCTTGGTGAGGTAAAAGGTGAGAACGTCAAAGCACCTGAGCCTGCATAGCGGACCTCGAGCCTAAGGCCAGCAAAGCCAGCAGAGATGCTGACCAGAGGGAAGGAAACATTCCTGCCAGGGGCTTCTGTAAAAGCTGAAAGCAAAATCAGTTGCTGGGGACTATGCTGTGGCAGGACCTGCCAGGATTTTCCCCCCAGGAATGCTGCTCCTGCCATACGTGCTTTTCTTCGTGCTTTTCTTGCACTATTTGTGGTGATTGGATTGGTGGAGTTAGATAGCCAGGAGCAAGAGACTGGAGTACAGCAGAGGGATGTGCTCATGGGCATGGGTATGGAGCAGAGTAAATATATTTCATGATCTAACTGTAAATAGATTTCATAGCTGTGCTTTGCCAAAAACAACTCCTAAATTTATTCTGGACCTTTGACAACCTGTTATAGTTGTTACTTTTTTAGATTAGAAAACTTTTTTAGGTTTTTTAGGTTCCCAGTCTCTCACTAAAATCACTTCTAAAATTTTTAGCAATCAAAAATAATGTGTTTTCCCTTAGTCTGGAGCTGTCTATGAGAATGAAGTGATCATGAGGGATCTGATTATATCTCTATGATTCAGCCCCAGCGGCAGTGGCAGGGGAGCAGTCTGTACTGTTTACCATCACTGTCAGATTTGAGAAATGAGAGCTGGGTACCTAATCCCCTCCATCTCGGCATGTCTTTACACCAGCAGTGGAAGGAAGGAGAGCTGCATGACATCAGCTTTGACTGTTGAGCCTGTCTGGACAGAGGAGTCCAGCTCACGGGATGACTACCTCTCCAAAGGCCATTTTCTGGCAGTTCCACCCAAGTAAACAGCTTGCACAGTTTTCAAAAAGCACAATTTTTAAAAACACAGTCCCCGAAAAAAAAAGATAGACTTTCTAATTTGTACCAAAACTTACGATTTTAAGGTTTTTTTATGTGTAGTGGCTGTGACTCCATAATAATAAAATTTTTTATGTGTAGTGGCTGTGACTCCATAATATATTAAACTACACATTTTAAACTATATCTAGTTCATTTATGACAGCAAATAATACAAGAAAACGTGCATATTCTACTCATTTAAACACATTACAGTTTGTGTACTCAACAGTGAAGTGATTTTTGGCATCTGCATCATCAGACAATTGCTGTGTTATCTGAAGACCTCAATGGACAACAATCTTTTTAGAACATATGTGCATGTGACATGTGTCAAACTTACTGTGAGAGCAAATGCACGTGGCTGACCAGGAGAAACCACTGCAGCACAGCAATGACAAGCATGTGAGAGTCTCTAAACTTGTGCATTGCAATAGTTTTAAGATTTTCTTCCTGAACCTGGGGCAGGGAGAAAGGAGCTCAGGGATTGGCAGCATGACCTAGGGCTTAGTGGTACTTGTTAAATGCAAACCACCAGGAGCAGGAGGCATCAGGGATGAATGGCAAAGGAGCAGTTTTCCTCTCTCCATCACCCCGACTACCTCTCTATATCAGTGTACTAACTCGTGCTGGGACATAGGCCTGGCATCATTCTGCAATCATTCATACTCACACATCACTAGATGTGACATGACAATAGATGCTTCCTGACACTGGCATTGAACATTCCATTGAATACTTGCAAATATGTAACTGTGTGTATTTTAGGGATTGCCATAGACCAGGAGATTATTTTCACTAAGCTGCCTGGATGTTTTGCAGGGTTAAAGAGCTAAGCAATGTGCATATGAGCTGTGACAAACCAGCTGACCTCAGGACTAGAGAATGGACCTTGAAGCACTTTATTTACTTGCACAGATATAAATTCTCTAAGTATAATTAAGCTCAGTATATAAATTCTCTAAGTATAATTAAGCTCAGTGTTAGTTTTTAAGTCTCCTAGCTATTTACACCCTATCTCTTCTGAACTTCCTATTGGAGTGTTAAGATGGATGCCTCTTGATGAAGAGGCATATATGTACATATATGATGAAGATCATATATGTAAAGCAATGCAACTATCATCTTTTGGGTGTCTGGCTGATTAAAATATGCCTCAGTTCTGATTTAGCCTCTATTTCTCCATAGGGTGCTCTTGGAGAGTTTGCAACTCTAAAAGAGATTCAAAAAAGCCCACACAAAGTGGGTGGACATCATCAGCTGTTAATGCTGGCAAGCTCAGTACAGCAAAAAGATTTGTCTTTCAAAGGAAGCACTTACAGCTTGTCTGAAAAGAGAGTGATTCCTGGAACCTATGATGTGTAGCTATGCCTCCCCTTTTCCTAGGAGCTCTGTCAATGTCACAAAATAATATTGCTTCAACTACCACTTCACTCAACAGTGCATTAGGTTTTGCCAAACCCACACAAAACATTCTCTCCAGGGAAAGGCAGATTGGGCTTCCATCTCAGGAAAATATCATTGCTAGCACTTCAGGTCTAAGCTCTTTAGAATTAAAATGCAACAGCAGATCTTTCAAAGTATGAGCCTGATCTATACGGATTTTAGGATATTTTAAGTATGGGATTTTTCCCCATATCGGCAAAGGACGGATCTCAACATAAGTTTTCTTTATTCAAGGCAAATGATCTAACGTCAGAGATTGATGTGAGAGGGTAATTATTGCTTTGAACAGGTCAGGCTCTACAGAGCAGCTTCTCCCCAGTTACTAAATACATGCCCTACAAATCAAGATCCTACAAACTCAGATTCCTGATCCTGAAAAAATAAGTTCCTTGTCATTCAACTCTATTTGGCATTAAAATGAATGACATACAACACTGAAAAGGGTTAGCTTTTTTTCCCCCCTCCCCGATCTATGCTACACCTATAGTGAATCTCTCTAATACAACCATGTGCATGTTATAACGTCCTCCTCTGTTTTAATGAAGAATGTGACTCTGCTGAAATTGTAGGGTCTTGACATTGACTGGTGTAACCACTGGGTCAGGAGCAATTCTGTTGAAGCCAAAGGACAGAAGAGAGAAGAAATGAGGCTGGCACCACACTCAGAGTTACTGTATTCCTGTCAATAGGCAGCTGCTTTCCTTGCTGCTCTATGTCCTCCTATGTGCTTGTGGCTAGATTTTGGTACCACTCTGGATCACCCTGGGTCCATGACACTGGATCAGAACAGTCAAATTGGCACAGACATCCTCAGAGTGAGAGGACAATCATCTTCTCATGGAAATACAGAGTGACCTTTCTCCTTCACTGATGTCCAGGTGGAAGAAACCCGAGATATCTCTGGGTGAACTGCATTTGTACTTTGAACGGTAATACATATTACTTAAAATATTTCAACTTGCCTTCTTCAGGATGGATATTTACCTTATTTTTCAAAGACAGCATGCATTGGTCACTAAAAGCCTGATTCTAAGTCCATCCATAATTCACTAGTAGGCATAGCTCAAAGGTTACTTTCTGGTGAAGCGGGGGAGGAAATACAGTTTTCAAGAACGATTGCATACTTACCTCATTTCTTCAGAACTAGAAAACTGCTAGTAACAACTTTGATATAATTTTAATCACATAGAAATAAAATTGCATGAAGAATGCATTTTTTTTCAAGACCAGTCATTTTTCAGTAGGATTTACAATTTTTCCCATGAAGAGGATGCTACGAGTGTATTGATCAATAATTAACAGCAAAAATGGACGATTGAATTTAACAACAGGAGGAACAGAATGAGGAACTAATTCTGTGTAAGTGCCTCCTGCAGCTTCTGTGCCATTCTCGTGGATATTCAGCAATGCCTTGTGAGTGGCCTACGACAAAATACAGCAAGTATTATTGTATGTAAGATAAGACTAGTGGTAGAAACTAAAATTAGCATTAAATTAGTTCAACTGTCATCTTTCACAAAAGTTGCTGACTGATCAGAAAGAAAGCCACTAGAGCCCTTGATGGGTTTGATAGCAATGTGATCTCTGTAAGCAAGTATTCTCCCATCCAGCATTGCTCACTATCAGTACAGACCTCAATGACTGCACATCTTGTGGCATTAATTGAAAATAGAACATTAAAGTAAAATCATAAGAAATGACAATTTCAGGGGGAAAGGAAGTTCAAATCCAGCACCATTCTGTATGCATCCCTAGGACACATGCATCACAAATTTAATCTCCATGTTATAATTTTTTAAATTATTGTAGATTACTTTTCCTTAGTCATTGTATTTTGCTGCCCCAAAATTATTAAAACATAGTAATTACTGCTGTCACAATAGCTGTAAGAATGTTAATGTTTATCTCAACTTTATCTCAAATTTCCAGGAAATGATCCTTTCCCCACTCTGGCCTATTTTGCAAGTCAATATCTTTAATGACAGCTGAATTTTAAAATACTTTAAAATTATAGAATATGCATGGTATAAAAATGGTTACTTGCTCTACTAAATGCCCTGATGCAAAGCATTCACAGCACAGATATGGAAACTCTTGTTATGGGGAAACTGGCCTGTGTTTATTTCCTGGGACAAATGCTGTTACCCTCCCAACCTGTGTCACATCTCAGCTGGTCAGAAGGAAGATTTTAGTGTGAAAATACTTTTACACTTCGTCTTAGTCCCAGATCTTGGACAGATCAGAGAATTTGAGGCTACTGCTTTACTACTATATTAGTTGAATGTTCTAGTCCACTGAATATCAAACAGCTCCAAAAATAAGAAAAATTTCCTGGTAGAGCCTAGGCAAGGTAATTGGGCACTGAGGAATCCATAGGTCATCATTTCTGTTGATAAGCTTACTTTTGAAACCTTTACATCTGGCTCTCCTGTGATTCCAGATAGATCAGCATGATCAGAAAACACATCAGTTACACCCAGATTCATGAACATCTTCTTTAAGTCATAGGTGCCATGAATAGATAGTTTTGGAACATGCACTTCTATCCTCCTGTTAAATTCAGAAGAAAATGATGATAGTTATTGCAATCAAACCAAATCTTGGACTAACGTCTCGCAATTGGCTGGTTCTTTTCTGTTGTTTCCCCTACCACCTCAAAAAACACTCTTAAAACATCTTCAAATCTGAAAGAGAGGGGAACAAACAGATGGTAGAGGGGAAAGACATTATACAGCTTTGTTATACAGTGCTGCAACAGCCACTGTACTGGTCAGAAAGCAGATATCATGCCATCACCTTTGTGATACATTTCAGTTCACTTTCTAGCCCAAAGTGGTTTTCTTTTGGATTTCACACTCCGTTCCCACTCAAGGATCTGGTTGCTATGTCACAGTATTACCACACATAATACATTGTACCTGCGATGGGGCATTAGAGATACTTAAGATCAAACATAAACTACATGGGAAAAGAAAAACAGTTGCTAAACACACAGGTCTCCTCCTGTGTTGCCTCCTCAAGGCAATATTGATTTCACTTGTTGCTGAAAGCAGATAGCATGAAATGATTTGGTCTATCCTTTCATGCCCGTTTCAACACTTAAATCTCCAGTCAGCAGCAAAACCAATAAAAAGAGCAAGATTACAAAATAGCATCATCATCAAATTAGAATTCTATATTTACCGTCTTTCAAGTGATTTTTCCCATTTAGACACAGTGTCTTTTGTAAGAGCATCTTCCAATCGTTTCATTTTTCCTTTGCTGGGTAGGACAAATAATGCCATCACATCTCCTGTGTAAGGAATCTGTACCACCTCACAAGAAAACTTTCTGTCAAAGTAGTTTTTATAAAATCCATCTCGATTCATCATCTCCACTTCGACTGAAGTCTTCTCATTCACATAGAAATAATCCTTACGGGTCCCCTTAATATTGAAAGGATTTTCCCAGTAAGCTTAAAACCAAAAAAGAGAATGCAATTTAAAGCTTAATTCAAAGAGGATATATTAGTATAGTTGAGGCTAATTTACACACACACACACACACACACACACACACACACACACAAAACAGTCTATGGATTTGTACTCATACTTGGAGATCAAAGGTATTCAAAATTTGTTAAACATCTTGTTCCCTGTTATCTTCATTGTAATGTTTCCAGTAACAACCAAGTATTGTACATTAAATATGACATGGACTTGTACAATGCCTTTATAAGTCAGAAAAATTATATGGTAATTTTATATTATTATCTCAAAACCACAAAATCGCAGAATGTTCAAGATTAGAAGGCACCTCTAGAGATCATCTGGTCCAACCCTCCTGCTCAAACAGGGACACCCAGAGCACGTGGCCCAGGATGGCATCCAGATGGATTTTGAAGACCTCCAGAGAAGGAGACTCCACAACCTCTCTGGGCAGCCTGTCCCAGGGCTCTGTCACCCTCACAGTAAAGAAGTTCCTCCTCACCTGGAGATGGAACTTCCTGTGTTCCAGCTTACAGCTATTACTCCTTGTCCATTTCAAGTCTGTTTTGAAGAAAAGAAAAGCTGACCAGGAAAAGACAGCTATTTTCTGGTTTGAGAGTATTGCCAGTTCCCCAGTAGATAACTGTTTTTAATAGGTCTTACATTAAGTTTCTTTCATGTTTTTTCATGTTCATCTTGCAGTTTACTAAGGAAAAACTCCCATGCAAGAACAACCAAAACTTTTTGTCTTGATTGTAGTTCCCTTATGGTGAAGGGAATGGGGATTTAGTCTTCCAAATGGGTTTCTCTTAATGTTTATTCAACTGAATACTTTTGATGTTTTATTTGTGTTAAGTTAGGTCATTCACTGAACAAATACACACAGTCCACAGTTTGACAAGTTGTAAAAATACATTCTCTAGCTTTTTGACTATTCAATAGAAATAATAATAATGAAAAAAAACAGAAATAATAAGTAATAGCATGTAAACTCCACTTTGATTACTTTCTAAAGTTGAGTTTACTTTTTCCCCACCAAATAAAAAAATATACTCTAACAGGATAGAGGAACAGACCCAAATTTCATAGAGGATTTGAAATAAAAAATACTCTGCTGGATATTTTTCAATTTGCAAACTTTCATTTCCACGTGAGAAATTCCATTTACATCCCACATGCTGCTACAAATAGATACAACATTTGAGAGTGGAACAATCATTGCCAAAATAGGTACATTCCCAAGTGCTTCTTGGAAAAAACTATCTCCATAGGTATCCCACCATTTATAGATCATGTAAACAGATTAAGGTGTTCGGCAATTTTTAAAAAAATTGTACATTTGGTATATATTTTTCTACTTCATATAGCATATAAAGCTATATACTGAACCATAAGTTTTGAAGGAGTAAGTAGGAAAACCTTGATATGGTAATTTACAAATATATAGATCTGTTGTGTTCTGACAATTTCACAAAGCTTAGAGATTGCAAGTGTATGAACTTTTAGGCCTATCAAACATATGCTAGAAAAAATTAGTTGTGGAAGATGTCTGAGCATGGGAACTTTCAGTGTTTCTCATCACAAAATGTAAATTGACAGCATTTCTTTTAAGAAAATATCAAACATAATTAGGGGTATTTTTATTTTAGTCCAGGTCAGATTAAGACATTTAAGTAGGTAACATCTATATAACTAACTTACCTTTGAAATAAATGTAGTTAACAAGAACCATTAAAGTGTCTGGAGCAAGGTTTTTGACTATTCGGTTTATCTTCCCATGGGTTTTGTTCTTTACATAGTTATTGATCTCACTTTTAGCTTCAGTAGAATTCTGAAAGTTACTAGAAATAACTTTTGCCATATACAGCTTTTTGCTGTCCTTCAAAAACGTTTTCAGTGGTGTGAGGTGCTCGCCCATGAACAGGGCGTTCCCCATATTCAACTGTATCTGACTGCCAGGGTGGTTCAGCTCGAGGAGGAGATGATGAAAGCCATTGTGTATCTCCTCCTCCTGGATCTCGGTGAGGTTAAAAGCGAGCCCTTCCAGCACCTGTGCTTGGGTAGCAGCTCTGGAGCCCAGGGCCAGGAGGGCAAAGCCAGCAGAGATGCTGACCGGAGAGAAGAAAATATTCCTGTCGGGGTCCTCTGTGCTTGCTTGCCTGTAAAACCTGAAAGCAAAGTCAGTGTTGCTGGGGACTATCCTGCAGCAGGATCCACCGGGATCTTCCCCACAGGGATGCTGCTCCTGGGGGTGAGTCTCCTTGTGCTTGCCTTCATAGTGGCTGGCCTGTGGCAGGCTGTGGACAGCGGGGTGAAGTGCAACCACCAGCAAACACAGCGGGAGAGTGGCCTTCATCTCCTGTGGCAGCTACTGCATGAACAAGGAACAAAGCAGTCGTAGTTTTGTCAATATGCCATCTTTTATTTCTATCCATTTCTAGATTCAACATCTATGTGGTAATCACCGTTCTCTCTTGATCCCCTCCATTGTTATGGACTCATTTTGAAATCCTGCTTCTGTGTTTATGTGTAATTGCTACCCATTCTGGTTCTGCCTTCTTCCAGCTAAGGAAGTCCCTTGCTAATGAATGCTTATGAAGAGAGAGGCAAGTGAGTATCAAAGGAAAACACGACTTGTTGTCAAAGGAAAAGAATAAATGAAACAAACTGCTTTTGATCTCAATGCAAATCCTTTTTATGGTGAGACAGCACATCAGAATACATTTTTAATTCTCTTATGTTTACCTTTTAGAACTCTGACAGTTACTATGCTGTTAGTGATTAAATGAGGCTCGTGTCAAATGACATAGCTCTGTCAATAGAAAACACTTAATATGACACTGCAGCACTTAAATGTACTGTTTTTCTCATATTCCTGACTCATTTTAACATAAAAAGTGAGTAATCACAGGGCAGCCAGTAACATTTCCCTTCTTCAGTACCTGTTCTGATTAGATCAGAATATATTCCTTTATTTTAAACAGCTTCCTGAGCTGATGAATATCTTCCAAATGCCTCCCTCTCTATTTATGCCCATCATTTCCTCTAGAAATAGGAGGGTGAGATTACTGATGTGGTCTCAGTCCTTCCTATCTCTCCAAATTTTGCATTAGCAGGAAGGAAATTTCACAAGGGAGAAGCACCCACCAAAGAGCCTGAATTATGGCATCTTGACCATTTCCGCTAAGTATGGGCATTTTTCATTTATTGCTTTTCATTTTTACCCACTAATAAGAATTCATAAGAATAAATGTTAGTATCTAGTGCAACTTATCAAAAATCAGATAGCAGCTATGCCGATTAAAAATCTAACTAGTGACTGGAAATACAATTCAAAAGTCTTTGCCATGTTATTTAAAGTGAAACAGCTTCAAGGAAGAAGATCAAATGAGTTATTGACTCAAGCCCTACAACTGGCTGGTAAGCACACAAATATGGCTCAGGAGATGATGACATTTTAATTGGAATTTTCCCTACACCGTGTCAGCACACTATCCACTAAAACCTGGGTCAAAAAGGAGCCAGCTGCTCCTTCTTTGTGTGGGAAACTTTGCTCTGTGAAATGCAAGCAGATCAGGACTTACAGGGAGATTGGTATAACAGAAATCAGCTTTATGACTCCTGTTAGGACCATGCTGCCTTAAGTAAGGTATCCTATTCATGGCAGAGTATTGAGAGCCCAATTGTAATGGGCAAGTCAGCTCTAAGGAATTACAGTAAAGATGACAGATTGGTGGTTGAGAAGGCAGAATATTTGCTCCCTTTTAATGAAGCAGGGTTTTTTGGAGGTGAAAGATCTGTTTAGGATAAATGTTCTGAACAAGGACATATATGCTATTATATGCTATGAGTATGCTGCTATATGCTAATATATGCTGCTATAACATATCTCCACAATTTTCTAGTCAATAGTCTTTGAAATTAAGTTCTGCTGCCACCTGAATTCATAGAGACCAGATCTCACCCTTCAATGTAGATGTGCTTCACGGCTCACTAGCTAATTGCCATAGAGCTACATCATTTTTTTTTTAAGTTAAAGGTAACATTGTACTTACATTACATTCAGAAGGGTCCTGCTCTCATATGAGTTCTCCTCTTTCTTACTTCTTTACTCATACTAGTGTTTTCTTCTGTTAAACATTACATACCTTCAAATACAGATTATCTAGAAGGACACAGTGAATGCTGATTAGGCGAATTTTCTTGGGCATCAAATTCATGTGTCCACAACAGCCTACTGAGAGCAAAGACCACGGGGCTGAGTTTATCTGTAGCTGGGTCTGTGAGGTGTTGTGTCCCTAAGGGTATGCAACCCCTATTAAACAAATATTTATTAGAAATGAGATATTGGTGCCAAGACCAGTTACTTTGCCCTATACACTACCTGAGGACAAAGATTAACATTCAGCCAAAGCCACACAATTTCACCCAGCGCTGACTTTCAATGGCCGATCTGAGCGGGCAGCCCAGGTGAGGGAGCGAGGAGGAGCACAATCTGAGCTCAGCCAAGCTGCCCAGCTTCCTGGGCTCTGCTTCAAAGAGACTTTGTCCATCTGGTCAGAGCTATACCAGCAGAACTGACAATCCCACAGCACACAGTCTTATATTGAGACCACTATCCCGGTCCTCCCCTTTGCACCAGATACAGAAATTCCAGAGGAGAGACAGGAGGAATGGCCACTAAAACTATTTGCAGATCTAATGGGAGTCTCACTTGAAAAGCATCGTCCTGGTTTTCCTACCCTGTCACATGTATCCAGCAACTGAACTCATTTGAAACACAAATATTGGAATGGCGTTAAGATTAATAATTCTTTTACATCAGATTTCTAACAAACAGCAGAGTCTAGTTGATAAGAAAGAATAACAACCAGCTCCATGTAATGATAGTGAGGAGTGTATAGTATTCTCTTTTGCTTCTCTATCCTGGATCAAATTTGCATAGTCAGAGAGATCAATATATCTATAAAAAAAATCTCTTAAGAAATTCATTTAGTAGTCTCTGTAACAGGCCTCCAAATATACTGAAATTAAATTAACCTTTTAGAAAAACAGTCTTGAAATAATACATCAAGTGAGTAGAACCTTGTGGTATCACTTATTGTGTTTAATAAATGTGCACTGAACCTTAACGACATAGGAATATCTCTAGCTTCCAATTCCAGGTATCGCAGTGTGTTAAGAATTTAACTTTCTTTCCTATTGGCTGAAGGGAGTTAAGGTATCACTGGCTTTTCTCTGACAAATTTATTAAAATCTCTAATGTTCTTAGCAATACTTCAAATGGACTTTATTCCTTAATTCTCTCCTGTTCTTCCTGCTTTCCAAGGAAAAATACAATTTGGTTGATTTTTGGTATTCTGAGAAAGGCATCCTTTCTCACTTGGAGGTCAACAGTCTTCTCCTTGTTGATAGGTGGGCAAAGGGTGATAATATCTTAATTTACTTTTCTTTGCAGAGTCAGGTAATGCTGACCCCTTTAGCATGCTTATTTGTATTTACTGATGCAGGCCAGGATCCCATTGGCCTTCTTGGCCACAAGGCACTGCTGACTCATGGTTAACTTGGTGTCAACCAGGACTCCCAGGTCCCTCTCCGAGGAGCTGCTCTCCAGCAGGTCAACCCCTAATCTGTACTGGTGCCTGGGGTTATTCCTCCCCGGGAGCAGGACCTTGCACTTGTCCTTACTGAACCTCATGAGGTTCCTCTCTGCCCAACTCACCAGCCTGTCCATGTCCCTCTGAATGGCAGCACAGCCCTCCGGAGTGTCGGCCACTCCACCCAGCTTGGTATCATCTGCAAACTTGCTCAGGGTGCACTCAATGCCCTTGTCCGGGTCATTGATGGACAAGTTGAACAGTACTGGGCCCAATACTGACCCCTGGGAGACACCACTGGCCACATTTATCACCACAACTGGACTCGGCCCCATTTATCACCACCCTCTGAGCTCTACCATCCAGCCAGTTCTCAATCCACCTTACTTTCCACTCACCTAACCCACACTTCCTGATCTTCCCCATTAGGATATTATGGGAGACTGTGTTGAAAGTCTTGGTGCAAGGTAGACAACATCCATGGCTTTCCCATCATCCATCCATCCAGTCATCTCATCGCAGAAGGCTATCAGGTTGGTCAGAAATTACTTCCCCTTGGTGAATTCATGCAAAGCTCTTGGTGATTTTCCTTTCTGCATAGCAGTGCAGAGTAAATCCTAACTTCAGTGACAGAGCTTTGAAGTATATAATTATTAAAAGCCATAAATGAATTATCTATAAACTGCATATATAAACATAGACATGTAAATTTGATTTATAAATGCCTGGGTAGATAAGTCATATCCAGAGTGACTCGGATCTATGATTTTCACTGAATCTAGGTAGACCTGGGATTCATATATCAGTCAAACATGATAGAGCAGGTAGAGAATTTCACACATCACATAATTCTAAGATATATTCAAGAACTTCTTAATTTTTCTTTTAATAGTTACATATCTAAAAAGCACTCCAAACTACACTTTAAGACCTCAGTAAAGAAAATGTCAGTTATTCTGTTTGTTTCCTCCCTAAAAGTTTCTTGATTTGAGAATAACTTCTTACTCTGGAATGGCATGAAACAAACTTTATAAATACATGTTTATGCAACAAAACAAAAGTCTCTTAATAATCTGCTCTCCATGCCTGTATGTGGCAGATACCGGAAAGAAATGTCAATGTTTCATATTTTGCTGACCAAGTCATTTTGCTCAGAAAGTCCCAACTGTGACTAAATATCTCTTCTTTAACTTGCTCTTTGAGTGGTGGTAATAATTTGCTGAAAAGAGGCTTTTTTTACAGCAACCACAGTGGCTGTTCAATGAGCCGTGCCTAACAAAGTAGTAACATTTTATTAGCCCAATCTAATCTGACAGTTTGCTGCTGGCACCGTGTCTGTTAGTACAGCTGGTGAATGTCATGTGTATGCATGAGAAATAAAGATCTCTCCTTGCAAGTTTGCTGTGTTTTCCAAGGATTATGTGGTAGAATCTTCATTTTTAAGTTGTTTTGTCATGTAATTCCTTCCCTCTTCCCCTCAACTCCTATTTTGAAGAACAAGCTCTAGTTAATGAGAATAGCATGTTTTTGCTTTGAGTTTAGATAGAAGTGTTGGTGTTTAGCATTGTCAATTCCTATACCAAATTTATATTCTAGTTGCTTGGGCACATCAAGGTTTCTTTGTATCATCCAAAAAAACAAAAAATATAGCCAAACCCATAATACCACCGGCATAGAACACTGTGTTAAAATACAAAAACCCTGTGTGCAGCACAGAATGAACTTCTAAAGGCACAGAGATAGCCACAGGTTTAAATTTATAGCACATATATTTATACTGTGTTGCACTGGGATTTTCAAATTCTGAGCTAGGATTTCCCTTTTTCTTCCCACTGTGAGTTAGGTTTGAAGCAATGGCCACTGCCATGCAAGTCTCATGCCTGTTGCATCAGGGAACTTGACAAAGGAGAGATCTTCTGCTCTGCTGCAGAAGAGAGAGGAAAAGGACAGACATGGCCTACCAGGACACTTGCAAGCACAGGTCTGATGTGCATCAAGGAACAACAACTGCAGAGGCCAAGTTAGGTAAACCCGGTGAAGTTCTTGATGGCATCAGAAACTTCCTGCTCCTATTGATTGCTTCTTAGTGTGTTAAGAAACAACAGGTTCTCCAGAAACTTGAAATTCCTACTTGAATTGCATAGGAATGTCATTTAGGGTTTGATAGAAATGCATGGAATTATGGGACATCCTCATGATCAAGAGAAGAAAAACATGTCAAAACACAAGTCCTATATCATGAATTTATTGCTGATTTCTCCCTGGATAAGATACTGTGGAAGGTTTAATCTACAGTCACAATCTATTACTATCTCTGAATAGTGAGAGGACAAGAAGAGAGCCTATTTACAGTACTAGCTAGCACAGCCTCTTTGGGTTTCCCATCAAAATACATCAGGGTTTATGAACATCCTGCAAAAACAGAGGCAAATCTCATATGAACTGTTGGTAGTATGAAGGGAGATTCCTGATGGAGTGACTCCCTGGAGCAAATGCATGGGAGGAAACCCAACCTCAGGTTAGGAAACAGATCTAGAGGAAAGTATGAAAAAGAGAAGCTAGTTTTTGGAATGCCAGAAAGGATTTAGGTTAGAAAAGGGAAAAAAGACAACAAGCTTCTGTGTTCCTACAACAGCATACCCATATCAATTCATTAATAAAAAAAAATATTCAAAATCTATACAATTTTATTCTCCAAAGATTTATTGTGCGTTAATTCAAAACAGTATATATGTCAGAGAAATGTTAAAATCTAGAAATTCAAGTCAGACACAAAGACATGATACTTGTGGAACTACTTCCCTTGGTATAACTTTTATCTTTAAAAAAAAATGCAGTTTGCAAAATCCATGGATTTTTGTCTTTGTACAGTAGAATAGTAGTCATAGTTTAGAATGGAAGATATCTCTTTCTTTCAACCCTCTACTCAAATCAGTCCTACCTAGATAAGGTTGCAGAAGGACACTGCTCTAAGGATGGAGACTTCATACCCATCTTGGGCAATTGACCCCTGTAATGGTAGATTTTTTTTCCTAATCTGAATTTCCCATGTTTGAACTACACTTTAATCTGCTTTTCAATATCAAGTAGTAACTGAAGGAAAAACATCACAGATCTCCTGCTCCTTGTTCTGTCAGGCTGAAGGTGAGGTCTTGTGAGGCTGACTCTGCTCAGCAGCTTTGGGCTCAGGGCGATCATTGCAAAGGTGATGGAGAGGCCTAGAGAAGAGAAGAAAATGTTCTTTTCAGTACCTGCCTCTGCCATGACATACTTCGGAAAATCTACTGCAAAGTCAACATTGCTGAGAGCTTCCTTGAGAGAGCCAGCTTTCAACTACTTTCAACTACTGCTTTCCAGGGAGATGTTTAAACAATTTACAACTTCGAAGCTGAACTAATCACTAGTGACCAGTCAGAATGTGTGGGTGAAACATAATCACATAGTGGACTTTTGTTGGCTTTATTGCTATTTTTAATGTCAAAGAGGAATGAAACTGCCATCTCGGTAAGAATTCATAATGAAAATTACCCTTCTCTCCATAGAG